AAATATACAGACAATGCAGAAAATTTATTAGCTCGCGGCGTGCGCGCGCGCAACGAATCAATAATAACAATAAATATATACACTCGCTCGATTCTCTGCGCCCAAGTCGTGTGTGTGTATTTGTTTTTAATTGCATAAGAGTAGACAACAACGCGACAATTGCCTGCGCTCTCGGTTGTATATGAAATCCGTCGACGCATCGACGACAACGACGATATGTGCTTGCTACTATACGTACACGATCGGCGCGACGCTAGACGTACCCGATGCACAACTTACAATTGCATTCATGCTATATACGTGTATATAATCTCTCTCTCTCTACTCTGAGAAAGCGACGAATCGCGTGCATGGCTTGTTTACCGCTCGGTGCGATCGAGTCGAGAGACTCTCGGGGCCTTTATCGCGCCTCTCTTCTTTTTCTTTATTTCTTCCTCCTTCTCGACTGCGTCGCACACTCACACACACTCATACGCATATACCCACTGCACACCACTAATGTCTCATATTCTCTCTGCTATATACGGCGTGTTATACGCGTAGCGGCACGGAACCTCGACGAGTCGAGCTCGAGTCCGCAAGACCCCCTTGTGCGCACGTTTCGATCATTCTTATCGAATTTCTGCCTCCTTGTGTGCTGCGCGAAGCGAGTGTTTTTGAAGCGAGGCACGCACACAGACTTGTATGATACGCCAAGTTTTTGTTTTCAATCGTTTATTTCTTTTTTATTTTCTTCTTCGTCTCTTCTTTTTTTTGCCAAATCCATCGATAATCGGCACTCATATACCTTTAGCCGTGCTTATCGTTACATCATGTACACAGCTGTATGTACAAGACGATGCGTTTATAGCGCACATACCCACACACGTTCGCTCGGAACAACTAATAATATCAAGCGCGAGCCGTACTTATAAATCGAGCAGCTCCGAAAGTGCAGACACATTAAAGCCGTCTATATCGAGTTTAATCAGCTGTTATGACAACGCACCGATTGATACGCGCAATAAAAAAAAGAAGAAGAAATTAAGCTGGCAGTGCACGACTTATTTCCTCGATTTTCGTGCAGCTCCAGATGCATCGCTTCTTAAATTTTGCATCGCGAGCCCGTTCAAAGATAAAATATATAACGAAGCCGCTGCCGCCAAGTAGTAGTAGCAGCTCGATATAGCCTGCGAAAGTCGGAAATTCCTCATACGAGACATTTGCAGCAGCGGCAGAGAGTCGCGCGATTGAATTTTTCGATAAATAAACGCGACTCGTGCGGAGGCCACCAATCGGTTTGACACGATGACTCGATCGCATTACTGCTGCCGCTGCCAATGTATAAATATGCCTATAAGTAAATGCTGCGCCGCGCGTGCGTGTCCAATAATGCATAAACAAATGCGATCGCGCAGCTCGACCTCTCTCGTGTCGCAGCCGCGTGTAGCTCGAGCATGACGAAAAAAAAAAAAAAATAAGAAAACGAGTGAAAATAAAATGAAAAGAAGAGAGAGAGAGAGGAAAAAAGCAACACGAAGAGTCGAACGCAACGAGCGTCGCGATAGCGCGGGCGAGAAAGACCTCCCACTGGGCCAGGTGTGTTGCTGTTGTTGCTCGCGCGCATTTGATACACACACATATTCAATAAGTATACTCGTTAGATGTTGCACGAAGGCGACGGTGTTAGTATATGATATACATTGGTATATGTACACACGGACGGATTGAAACGCACGTGAATCGGCGCTCGTGTTGTCATGTCTCTATTATAGCTGCGCACCGACGATGTTATATGTATGTATTATATAGAAGACGATGTCGTCTTGTCGTCGTCGGCGTTGCGGAGGCGGCAGCAGAGCACTTGATACGCGATAAGAGAAAAACGAGGGAAGATCGACACATTCTCTCGTGCTCGACATGATAATCGCATTTTTCTTCATATAAAACATGTAGCGACGCTGCTGCTGCTGTGTGCTTATATGTACGCCGACGAGATTATATACTTACCTGTCGCGCGGCGCAGAAAAAAAAATTTGTATTACAATGTATGCACATAGAGATATACGATGCACTCCGTTGAGTACACTTGCTCACGAGCCGAGCGATTGAGGAAAAAAATCTTTTTTCTTTTTAATTCTTCTTCTTTTTCTCAGCTCTCTATCTTGGCTTTGCGTCGTCGTCGTCGTCGGCCGCTATACGAGAGAGATGCACCGATCGACTTACTTTTTTTTATCGGAATAACTTTGCGCGCTTGTTTACAGCGATTAGAAATCGCCGAAATTTCTGGCTGAATTACGGCTGGCACGCGACAAGCTCTTATCTGTCTTGACTGCTGCTGCTGCTGCTACTGCCGCCGTATAACATTGCGGGAATGACATCGAGAAAGTGCCTACGTGACCGCAATGATCGCAATGAGATTTTTTTTATTTCTCCTTTTTTTTATTCGAGCTTCTCGATTATATGCGTATAATCGTACATACATTCATGGCAACAATTATACACATAAAATATGAATACATGCGTATATCAAAGTCGCGGGCAAAAGTCGCGCGCAGTGGAAGATTTTTTGCCTCGTCTCGAGCTCGAGCGCACGAGGATCCCCGACAGCTCGATCGGAGCAGCCGCAGTCGTCGTCGTCGAGTTTGTCATGCACACATTTGCTTGCTCCGCGACTGCATATACACGCGTATGTTTTATAGGTATATATACACACGTCGTAGTCGTCGCCAGTCTGCTGCCGTGCAAATATTAATATTGGAGCCTCCGAGTACACTCGGCGCGCAGAGCAGCAGCAGCTCCTAGCCTCTCTACATACACACACGCATATGTACCGATCTTCGGGCAAAAACATATTTTTCTCGGTTGGAAGGAGTATCGTGCACACACGTACCCCACCTACGGTCGTATAGCCTTCGTAGCGGGCCATACGCGCACGTGTCTACCTATTGATACATATATACATAGATGCGGGTGCACTATCGTGCGATCGTGTTTCTCCCGTAATGCTGTACTTTATTAAAAATAGTTCGGCGCGTCATAATTTTGCACGTATACAACAAATAATAATTTATTATACGCGACGCGATTGTAAATATTACGCAACCTGCTTTTCTTTTCACTCTCTCTCTCTCTCTCTCTCTCTCTTCCTTCCGAGATAAAATAGAGAGAGAAAAAAGAAGCTGTTATCTCTCTTTTTCCCCGGCACGGCCTAATTATATATAATTATGCTTCCATATACGCTACGACTCACACACGTAGCTCGAAAATCGTGTATCGTAAATAGTCGAGATTATATGCGCGGTGTATAAGACTAACGTAGTATAAGACTATCTGCTCGGGTGCATCGGCGAAGAAGCGATGACGTGACAAGTGTCGTGTCTCGGGGCAATCGCATCGAAGCCGCGCCGCGCCTCAAGGTGCCGGAGTGTATAGACGGCGGCTACGGAGCTCTCGACCGACGCACGATGACGACGATATTAATTTTGTTGATTTTTTCACTCTCTCTCTCTCTCTCTGTTTCGCGTGTATTATTGTTATAATTGTATTCGCAATGCAGACGTGTGGGCCTGTCTCCCCCCTTCCGCCGCAAACGCCCCCGCTGCCGTTTCTATTTAATAATAATCTCCTCCACCACGCGCCGCTGACGAAAGATTAAAAAAATCGTTAAAAAGCCCTTATGTAACTCTCGACTCTGTCTCTCTCTCGTTGTTGTGTTTTCGTCTTTCCTGTCTGTCTCGCGCACGCACACGCATACACCACGATTGCGCTTGTCATGTGTATCATAAAAGCCAGCTAAAGTACATATTAGATTCAAAATAATAACTTTTATTAATTCTCTCTCTGTTCGCTTTGGCGCGAGTCGGTTAAAATAAAATACAACAATAAAAAAAAATCCGCCGCGATATTATTGAATTTACAAGCCGATAAGCCGCGCATGAGTCTGTACATACTCCGAGTTTACGTCTGTGTATTTGTAAGTGCACACACCGAGCTTATCGTCTTCTGTGCAACGCGATCCCGAGCTGATAATAAATGCCGATGTTTCTCATATACCAAATGCAATTGCATCTAATAGCGATGTATCCAGCTCGATATACACAAAAAACACGCATTTAAATAAACATCTCGGCGTCGCGAAAGTCACATTTATACGCGCTACAACAAACATCAAACATCATCGTCGTCGTCATCATCATAATGGTATATAGTAGCTGCTGCTGCGAACGTTGTCATCGCTGCCGCGCGCTCCTATATACGGAGTCGAGAAGAGTCGCAGTAGCTCCCCGGGGGGTACACATAATAATCGTCTTGTCGTCGCGTCTTCGTTGGTTCATTCACGCTCTCTTTTTCTTTCTTTCTCTTTATTATTATAATACGAAATATTGGCGCGTTTTATCGTGTCGAAGTCGTAACTCTATCTCGCCCTGTTATAACACACGACTCGAACGCGAGCTTCTTTTATTTTTCCGGCCCCGACATCTCTCTGTATCACCAGAAGCCGCTCTCGCTGTCTCTCTCTCTCTGTCGAGTTTTGTAGCTCGAGCACAGATTATAAAACGCGAAGTAATAGGTGGGGTCCGCGATCTATAACAAGGTCACGCACCAAGACATGCTGTACATACATTTTCTTCGACTTTTTCCGCGGTAAATTTTCGCGCGCATTCGATGTTATACGAACGAATCGCAATCGCGACCCAAAAAAAGTCTATCTGGTATTTTTCGCACACGAGGGGGGCCGCCGCGCCGGTCTAGCTGGCACATGTACAGCAATCGTGGCTCATGCGTGTAATATAACTCTTTGCCGCGAGCAACATGTGTGTGCGTGGCCCGCGTGTATTGTCTTCGCTCCTTAATGTGCGTGTGCGGCTATACGATGTGTCCCCACTTGAAAGCATCACGTACGTATAGCGGAGAGGAACTGATAGCGCTTCTGTCTCTCTCACACGCACACGTTTGCTCTTTAGCTCGGCGCGTTTATAAAAGACTCGCTGCGGCGCGGACTCAGCAGTTGTCTTGCGCCAGTCGCTTCGATCGGCATATCATTCTCAGCTTATTACAGTAGTAGCTCCGTAATCGGTCGGCTCTGCCACATACACAAGTACATCTAATATCTCGTGCGCCAGTTCGTTCCTATCTCTCGCTCTTCACTGCCTTTTTTCTGCCGGAGCCACAGCGCCAGCAGCAGCGGATCGAGCAGCTCGACTCCTGCGTCGTGTGTAGCAAAAAGTGTGACAGCAGCAGCAGCAGCTAGGGAGAGAGGGACAGTTGGATCCCGCGCGTGTGCCCAGTGCCAAAGGGAAATTAGAAAAACGAGCATAAAAAACCTATCGTCATAATGGAGACGTCGTACTCCTAGCAGTGGTTCAACGTGTGTCTCCAGAGTGTGCTCCCGTTGATCGCCCGCGTATCGCACCGCACGCTCGGCTCGTGCAAAGAGAGAGAGAGAGAGAAATAACTAGACAGTTTCGTAGATAAAGCGCGCTGGTCGCCAGCATAATTAGCCCAAAAATCACAGCCAACAGCGACAAGTGTCCGACTAACAAGTGCGCCATCGAGTTTAGCGCGCGCTCCTGACATACGCCCAGTGTCCCGCGAAAGCCTCATAATTCCGTACATTCGAACCGCAACCATACGGCCCAGACATGTTTTCCATCGAGTACAGCAAGCAGTTCCTGAGCTATCGCATTCTCAAGTCCAACCGTTTCAAATACATCTGACCATAAGGACTCGGAACAAGTTGTTATTGTTATTTTTACGTTCTTAAACGAACCCCACCTGCACAGCAGCAGCACCGCAGTTACACCCGTCAGTGTTCTAATTAAACAAAAAAAAACCTCTCTAATCGAGTTTGATCCTTGAAACTCTCGCAGGAGCGATTAAAACGACGAGAAGAAAGAAGAATCCTGAGATTCGAGTGTTTTTTCGAGTGTGTACCCCGCCGCGCGCGCGACCCCTTCGAAAAATATTGAGAGAGAGACCTGGAACGTCCTCTCGACCGATTCGAAAACAAACGAAAAAAAAACTAGACAAAAAACAAGCAATTATAATCAAGAAAGAAAAAGCGAAAAAGTCTATAAATTTTGTTAGCGCGCTAAGGGAGAAAAGGAGGAGGAGTCGTTGGACTCGTTGAAAAAAATTGTCGGAAAAGTTTTCTAAACAAAAAAAAATGATTGTTTACGTACCTGGCAGAATGCCTGTGAGGGCCTACTACCCGCACCATCACCAGCAGGGCATCTATCAACATCAGGCGGGGGTGGCAGGGCCGATCCACGGCTACTACAGCGGACCAACGAGCTCGACGGCGGCCCAGCACGGCAGCGGCCTGATCTTGGATCAGCATCGTCATCAGCAGCGGCGGCAGCACACCGTGACCATCGGTGCTGACCGTGACCCGTTGCAAGGCGCCAATCTGCAGGCTTGGCCGAGGATCATGCCGCAGGACGAGGAGATGCAGCTGATGCCTGTGGCGACGGCGCCGGTCGCCCAGCAGAATCCGGCCTCGCCGTCGGATCCCGTCAATGCCGGTCCAGCCAGTCCGGCGCACAGCGACTCGGACGCTTCGAGCTCGAGCCTCGAGGTGCCCAACAGCAGAGGCACCAACGAGCAGCAACAGTTGTGCAGGTCAGTACTCTTCGTAATTACATCATCTTACGTACATATACATGCGATCGCGTATGCCTATATGTCTCATTTCGATAACATTTCGATCGTCGTTGAGTCTATAGGCTAAAGCGGCGTCAAAAATAGCTCCACGCATCGACGACACGATCGGCTAATAATAAAATCCGACGTGTGTGCAGGCGGGCCGCGAGAGTACAATACATTATCGATAAAATTGCGTGTAAGTCGTGCCAACGCGACGCGGACAGGTCTACGATTATTCAATTTATCGGCGATATCGCTTTGCCGCGCGCACTCGGCAAAGCACCGCGCGTTTATTGACACATCGGTACACTACATACCTATATGTGTGTATGCGCTCGAGATTTATCTCTCTCTTTTTCTCTCATATATACACACGAGCACGTGTAATTGTAATTAATATAACGTCGAGAGCTTGTTACGTGCTCGATCGTGGGGCTATTGTAGTACATACAAGCGTACGGCAACACTCGAGATTAAACTCGAACGAAGAAAAAAAAGAAGAAATATAAAATATAAAAAAGAAATAAATAAAAGTCGTCGAGACGCCGGTAATTTTCCGTATTATATCCCCAACGTGTGTATGTATGTAATATCTCGACACTGCGCAATGTATGCGAGAGCGTATAGTATACGTCGTCGTCGTCGTCGTTGTAGCTCGCGACTCGCAGGTCTTTTTTACTCAATTGAAAAACAAGGTATATAGACATTATAAATTGATCAAACATCGATAGATAGAGAGAGAGATGCGCGTGTGTATACACAAGCGATTCATCTATACGATCGGAGATTAATCGTCGCCGATCGGATCGACGGCGGGAGATGATCGATATAAGATCGTTTCTTGATTTTTCTTTTTTTTTTTTACGCACTCGCGCGGGCGACACAGTCGATTTCAGTCACGTTACGTATCATAGGTCAAACGAAGCTAAAACGACGCGACGTCCAAGACACTGAAATGACTTTTATTGAAACGATCATATACGGCACTGGCATCGGAAAGCTCGGCTCGCGCGCGATCCGGTTTCATCCGGTAGCCCGCCTAGTGTGTGTGGATCGACTTAGACGACGTCGAGTGAGAGAGCAAGAAAGAGAGAGAAAGAGCGAGATCGAGTACTCGAGAGAGAAAGAGAGAGAAAGAGAGTAAATAAACGAGATGAAAAATCACGTTCCGATCGTCATTTGCGTATTTGCGCGTAAAACGGGTGCTTTAATGCGCGTATTCATATGCGCTTACATACACCTTTGGTCAATAATATCGGAGAAAGGCAGTAATATTGGCACGAGACGGTCACGTGAAAAAGCTCTCTCGGTATCGAATCATATTAAATCCCCATTATCTTATCTGACGAGCCAACACCGAGAGCTCTCTACGTATTATATACCTATATTTATAAAATAATGTATATAATATTTATATATCTTGACAACGAGTCTGCGCGTATTTAAAATATAGATATAATATGCGACAAACTCGCCACGCCGAGTGAGGATAAGGAGAGATGTCGAAGTTGCATCGATTTAAAATACGATAGATCGTTCGCTTGTTACGGCCGATGATCGGTTGATTCTTTCAACGACATATGTATGTACATTATGAGCGTAGTCGACTCGACAACGACTCGAGCACGTGCGCGATCATTACTTAAATAAATACATGCGAGAGACAGAGACGGGCTGAGAGCTAATCATTCGTACGTACATACACGTACGACACATTTAAAAGCTGCTGTGACGCATAAGCCGCCTGTTGAAGGTTCCGTTGATATTGAAAATCGGCTACGCGCGATCTCGTCTTTTTTATCATCGATTCGTTTTTTTCCATCATTCAAACGAATCTAAAAAGATTAGGCAGCGATCAATAATTTCGATTATTTCTTTTTTTGTTACCAATAGATGGCAAAACTGCGGAAGATGGTGCACGTCCCTGGAACAATTGGCACGTCACGTCGAGAAGGTCCACGCCGCGCCGGGAACGCGCGGCTTGTTCTTCTGCGGCTGGGAAGACTGTCAGAGAGGAGAGCGAGGTTTCAATGCGAGGTAAGCAACAAATCCACAATACCGATTTTTTTGGTCTAGTATTTAAAATCAAAAAGAATGAAAAACTTAACCGATTTAATTTACTCTTTACCTCGCAGGTACAAAATGTTGGTGCACGTGCGAACGCACACGAACGAGAAGCCGCATAGGTGTCTGCAGTGCGACAAGAGCTTCAGCCGGGCCGAGAATCTAAAAATCCACGCGCGCTCGCACACGGGCGAGCGGCCCTACGTCTGCCCGGTGGCGGGCTGCAACAAGGCCTACAGCAACTCGTCGGATCGTTTCAAGCACACGAGGACCCACTCCGTGGACAAGCCCTACTGTTGCAAGATCCCCGGCTGCCCGAAGCGCTACACCGATCCGTCGTCGCTGCGCAAACACGTCAAGACCTATCGGCACTACGTCAACAACAACAACGACAGTACCACCAACAACAAATCGACGACGGGAGCAGCAACGACGACAACGACGACGGCGACGACGACCCCGTCTAAGGATGAAACGACACCGATGATCGTCGTGAAGAGCGAAGAGTCGCTGAAAACACCCACACAGGTCAACAATAGCCTGAACTCGAGCCAATTGGACCTGGATAAGAAAGATTCGAGCCTGGAGAGCGTAAACGCTAGCAGTACTAGCTCGACCTCGTTCGTTAGCAGGTAAGAAAATCGTAAAATCATGATATCATAATTTCCCAATTATCGTTATCTCAATCTGATTGTTTGAAATTAAAATCCCATTTCTTTGCTCATCAGTGACAGTCCCAAGGGTACAACGACGAGTTTCGAGGAGCAGCAGAAATTCGTCGAGCTTCAAAATCGCTACAACAATCAGATGCAAGAACCGAAACATGCGCCACAGCAACACATGAATCGGCACCTGACGTCGGCCCTGATGTCGTCGCCCGCGTCGCCTCTGTCCACGTCGTCCTCGTCGAAGAACAGCAGCGGCTACGAGCACGACTTCCACAGCAGCGGCAGCCCGTACAGCAACAGCAGCGGCAGCAGCCGCATGTACGACGAGTACATCTTGCCGAGAATCGCCGCAGCGGCAGCCAGTGGCAACGGTACCGATCAACAACAGCAGCAGCAGCAGCAGCTGATTGTCCGCATGTCGATGAGCAAGTGCCAGTCACCACCGCAGATGCTGCAGTCGTCGACGCCGATCAAGAACGAGTCGGTGGATTATCGTCACATCGAGTCGATCGTTAATAGCAACGCGACGCCCATCAGGCCTGCTTCCAGCGATCTCGTGCGCAACTCCGTGATCAAGCGCGCCAAGTCCAACGTTACCGATCCGCATCAGTTGCAGCAACAGCAGCAGCAGCAACAACATCATCATCATCATCAGCAACAGCAACCAATGCCGATGACGCAGAGTCCCGTGCCGGATCACGACTGCTGCTGCAAGCGTCACAAGTGCTGCAAGCACTCGGACGACGAGAGCAACAGCAACCTCATGGAGAACACCAAGATGCTGTCGGGCTTGATTTTGCAGTCGCGCGCGCCAATTGTTCGTCATCTGCTGGCCTCGGTCGATCTCAACAACGACTTTAGATTCTCCATGTGGCAGCAACAGCAGCAGCAACAGCTCCACCAACAGCAGCAACAGCAACAGCCACAAATATTACCATTCGAGCAGATGGCCATCAACACCTGCGCCCGAGATCTCAGAACCAAATGCGAGGCGAGCGACATGGATCAGGATTTGCCGCTCGATCTGACCGTCAACAAATAAGAAAGATCACGCGTTTTATTTTATCAAATATTTTACCAAAAAAAAAGAAAAGGAAAAGAAAAATCAGAAAGTAATATCGATGCGATGATAATATTGTGCCTAATACATTATATACATTCATAAATATATACCTTGATTATTACCTATATACACGAGAGAGCAAAGAGTCGAGTTTTATGAAAAGCCAAATATTGCATTCTAGTGTATATAATTTTATCTTTTGTGAGATTCATTGATCGTCGATAGTTATCTTTTATGTATCTGCGATGAGCTTATCGAGTCGTGTGGTGTTCTTTTTTCTTTTTTAATTATTATTTATGTATGATATTATTAAACAATTATGGGGGCTACTTTTTTATGAATATTTTTTTGCGAAAAGTGCCATTGTTGACTTTTCTAGTATCTTTGACTGTTGTTTATGCATTGCTTTATGCTGCATGGGTTCAGAGCGACAGCGATCGATGATTATTAGCGATGTTTCGGAGGATGGCTGATTTTAATTCGGTCGGAATTACCAAATCCCAAGGCGCCTGGTAATTTCACGTACCTGTGATCATGATTCTACATTGTTGTACAAAAAAATGTTATTATATCCTATTCTATATCTTTTGTACATTGATTCTTCTTGTTAAATAAGATGTTTGAGTTTGTCATTTTTATGAGCATTATTGATGTTTTGGCGCAAAATTAAGACTTAGATTGTAATTTTAAACTAAAACTACGATTGTCAAATTACAAGTTGTCAAAATTTTTAAGTGTACAAAATCAAATTTATTTAATCTGTATGTTAGTTTTAGAATTTGATCATTATATTTTGATTTCCAAACGTTTGTAAATCATCGTTAGGCGTGTAACCTGCCATAGTCAAGCAGCTGCCAAAATGCTGGTTTTAAGTTGATAAGTAAGATCAACACTTATTTTTGTAAATTTCTGTTGTATTTTATTGTGATCTTGTTGAGTTAAATTGTCGTTCTCAAAATCTTGTCTTCTACTTAATTATCTCCAAGTGCCTTGAAAAAAAATGTTCATTCAACAGGAATTGAATTGAAATATTATGATAATTGGAGTACCTCGAATAATTACTATTTTTTATAAGGCGATTTATTAATGCTCAAAAACTGTAAATAAAATTGAAATCAGAAACAAAACGTCGTTTTCAATTCTTGTACATTCATAAGGGGAGTACGATTGGGAAATTTAACGTCTCTGCTTCGTACTTGACATTATGATTGCGCAAAATAACGCGACATTGGGATGAATATTGTTACCACGAATTGGCATTTGTCCGAGTGCCGCGTTTGGACGCGTTTATAATGGAATTTATAAAGTTCACGAAGTTATTATAATTGTTATTACTTTGGTAATTGTCAGTACGGAATTGCAAGTTTCAATAATTAATGAACGTTTGGAAAATTTCGCTGGCCGTAAGAATGATAAGTTTTATGAAAAATATGTGCCTTAACTCGAACATTTATAAATTACTTTTGTGGATTCAATAAACTGAATTTCATCAATTACACATATCTTATGTATTGTTTTTTTATTATTAAAAAAACGTAATCTTTTTAGTAATTATATATTAAAAAATATTATACTTATTTAATACAAAAATTCCTTAAAAATCCTTAACAGCTCCACACATTCATACAGTCCAAATAACAAAATTAGCTATCCAGGGATGAGTATCATCACTTTACAAAACTTTAAAAAATATAGTTTTTTCTTCGATGAATTTGTCATTAAGTTCATAAGGTAAATTATACATTTGTATTGTCTAGCACTTGTTTATTCAAGACACTGAACCGTGACTGCTTAAGAGTTCCGACATTCCATCTTTTATAATTTTCAAACTTTCTAAATCGTGGTTGACGGTGTCAATAAGTTGTGCCATTCCTTGCTGCTCCATATTTAGATACTGAAAAAATATCAAGTATTTTGTCAAAGATTCAATGTGATCATTTATAATAGTAAGTCTACTTCAATTCAAAATTGTTGCTGGAACTTACCGATTTAATGTCGTCCTGAGCCATTGGATCCATTGTGTATCTTTCTTGGCTTTGATTCTCTGTATGTCTTCGCATTCTTAATTGAGATAGCATTTCACTAATTCGACCTTTGAATTGCGTGGGTGCGCTAATTTGGGAGTGCATGGCTTCAAATTTATTCGTTAGAGTTTCTTCCTCCGGTTGCAAAGAAAAACCAACTTTTCGACTAGTTTCTTGACGCACGAGAACCTATGAAGAATAGTATTTTTAGTTCGAGTTCTTTTCAATTTGAAATACATTAATTGCGTTAATCTTACCGAAAGAACTCTGTGTTGAAGCTCCAAAAGTGTTCTACGATGTTCTTTTAGTCTAGCCTGTGTAGCTATGTGCTGCCTCTGCAGACCCTGAATATCTTCTGCAACCATATCAAGAAAAGCTCGGTGTCTACCAGTTTCTTCCTCTTGACATTTAAGCCTATGTTTAACTTGTTGAAACCCTATCATAGGCACAGGTATATAATTTTCAGGATTAGGATTGTCAAGTTGGGCCTGTTTCCATAAACGTGGATCAATGGAGCATGGTGGATTATCCATATACTCTTTGATTTGAGCTGGATCCAATTTGACTTGAGGGAAAATATTTTCCACCCCTATTTGGGTAAGTTGTTGTTTTTGCATACCCTGTGTAAAGTAAGTGTATAGTTCATTGGCCGGAATTTTTCTAGCAGAGCCAGTAACTCCTTTTTCAGTTACAAAAATAGTGGCCTGACTTTTACTTTCACCAACTGGTTTGGTACTGTCAACTGTAACAGTGAGATTGGGTTTATTACCCAAAATTTGATTCAAAGATGCAATGAATTGAGGCCTGCCATCTTTCAATTCTTGTTCTTTTTTGGCAAAACAGAGAACTACTAGACCATCATTATTATCATTTTCAGGCATCCGACTGTATCCAATCGCTTTAAATCTGCATAAAGGATTTTCTTGATTCAATTCTATAGGTGGAGCTGCAGCTGAATAATAAGCCTTTCCTGTACCCCATAATGCCTGAATTAAATTCCACCTAGCTATGGTATTATCTCTTTCGTCATTAAATAACTGACAATTAAATACTGCGTTATACAAAGCTTCAGATATTGCATTTGCATTTGATTGAACCTGTTGTTGTTGCTGCTGCTGTGGTTGCACCTGTTGCTGTTGTGTTAAGCCCGAACCAAAACTAGAAAAAGCATTTCCTGAAATGATTACATACAATGTTACATAAAAAATCTATAAAACCACTGAAATGATTTACTTTATTATAAATGAAAAAATTAACTTGGCATTACCTGTTCCAAAACCACCAAAACCAGTGGAAGCAGTAGTTGCTGCAGGCTTAGCTCCAAATCCTCCAAAAGTATTTGTTCCAAAAGTACTTGGTTGTGTGCTTGTGTTAGCTCCAAATCCTCCAAATAAGTTAGAGGATGTGGAAGTTGTTGGATTAGTGCCAAATCCTCCACCACCAAAGCCTCCAAAAGTAGCTGTACCAAGACTATTAGTTGTGGCTGTTGTTCCTAAACCAAACGTCGGTGCCGATGATGTTGCAGTAGGTGTTGTACCAAATCCACTTGTATTTCCACCAAAACTGAAATTATTAGCTGGTGTGCTAAAAGTGTTGGTGGTGGTTGTTGTTGATGTACCAAAACCTGTTGCAGCTGGTGTACCAAATGTTCCAGTACCAAAACCAGATGCTTGTGTAGCTGCTGGCGTACCAAACAGCGATGGTTGAGAAGTCGCAGCTGGTGTGTTAAATCCTCCAAAGTTACTTGAACCAAAACCAGCTGGACAAAAATGAAATTGAAAACAAAATGTTCATGACATTTATTTGTTTATGTTTTAATGAAAATACATGGTGCACTTTCATATGTCTATTGAATATAAACACCAACCTAAAAAGTTTATTGATTTGACAGATCAAATTGTTTGGTTAAGATCAAGAATATTTTTTGTACAAGGTATCAAATTGTTTACTCAGAGTATAATTTAACATTATTGGTGATATTAAGATAGAGTATTATTGCAGGAGATTTCATAGCAAACATGTCTAACGACATGATGAATAATTCATCTGAAAACCATCCAGAAAGAAAAATAAACATATTAGAGTTGGACATTGAAGTTACATCTGTACCATATAAAGATATTGTAAATTCTCATGGATCATTTGGAATATTTCCCCAAAACATTTTACTAATTGTAACAGCATCTTTGTGTGCTGCTTTGCTTTTCCTTTGCCTCATCACCCTGTGTTTATTAAAGCGGTGGAAGAAAAAATACTACGATTGTGTTCAGGGTGGAGAATCAAAGTGCGATCCAAGATGTGGAGGTTCACGAAGACCTCTACTTAAAAGGAATAAATCAGCAGACTCATTGAGTAGGACAAGCAACAGTTCAACAAGAGAATGAAGTTTGCTTGACCTTTTAAGAAAAGTTTATCGTTTGGAGTTCATTAACTTATATGATCATTTGAAATTTTATCATATTTTTTTGTTAAAAATCATGTACATTGATTTTTAAAGTGATAAATAAAAATGAAATGAATGGGAATTGAAAAACAATGCGACATAACCTATCTAAGTGCAAAGAGCCAAGGCATGTTGTGTATACCTGGTCTGATCGGAGTAGCCGTTGTCGCAGCACCACCGCCGAACGAGAAGGCTGAAGTGTTGGCCGGGGTGGACGAGCCGAAGCCCGAGCCGAATGACATCTTTTCAACTGCTTCTCAAAATTCAAGGTTCAGGACACAATAACAACAGTTGCAATCAGAATCGCAACAACAATCGAGTCAGGCAAAGTTGTAAATATAATGTGTCTTTTCCTTGGCTGCAACTTTTCCCGCCGCCGTCACCTGCTGCTACTTGGGCGACACGAGTTGCTGAGAGTCAAAAACTCTCGAACTGCTTTAAGCCGGCGTAAGTCGGTAACATAACTGTCTGCCTGCTCATTCCGTACCCTCCGTTACTTTTGGCGATCCCTTGTGGCATTCGCACGAATCATTTTGCGGTACATGGTAAAATATGGATCATTTCGTCCGTCATCGTACACAGAGAGAAAATATACGCGTTTGAGGGGGGACCTGTAGTAAGCAAAAATCGCTGGAACGGTTGCCTGGCTCAATCGCTGGCTGTCCGGCGATGATCGTCGGAGACTCCAGCGTTGCTTTGGCCGCTCGTGAGTCCTAGCGTGGAGTCTCCGGCGATCATTGCCGGACAGCCAGCGATTGAGCCAGGCAACCGTTCCAGCGATTTTCGCTTACTACAAGTCCTCCCTCAAACGCGTATATGAGCGCGTCCAGCATAAGTCGGCCACCCCGCGCGATTACGGCATTTTTGGCCGAAAGTGTCGTATGTTTAGTTCGCTCGGACACGTTTACTAAGAGTCAGAAAAAAAATCAAAACACATAGATCGATAGATTTTTTCCTCCTCTTTCTAGTGGTGTAACTCAAAAAATTCTTAAAAATTGATTTTGAGGTTAAAACTCGACTTGAATGTTTAAGTCCATTTTCCCAAAAAATGTATCCTCCGATTGCAATTTAAACTGCACCAATCGAAAGAGGAGGCAAAAATCTATCGAAAACGATGTTTTCCAGGATGGAGAAATGATAAGAACTATTAAAGATATCGAGATGAATAGCGCGGGACGGCGCGCGCGGACCTGTTTTCCGTGCGCCAGCGGCGGCACACGCGCGGCGCCGTGTCTTTGTCTTTTCGACTCGCTCGTAATCGCTTAAAAAAGGCTAGAAAAATGATGTGAACACGTAAATCGATAGATTTTTTCCTCCTCTTTCTGATGGCGTTGTTGAAAAAATTCCCAAAAATTTTTTTCATAGTCAAAACTTGACTTGAATTTTTAAGTCAATATTTCTTCTAGTATTTTAGTATTTTGACCTCAAAATTAACATTACCAATCGAAAGAAGAGGAAAAAATCTATCGATTTACGTGTTTAAATTATTTTTTCAGCATTTTTTTAGCGAGTCGAAAAGACATAGGCAGGAAAACAGGCCCGCGCGCGCCGTCCCGCGCTATTCATCTCGATATCTTTAATAGTTCTTATCATTTCTCCATCCTGGAAAACATCGTTTTCGATAGATTTTTGCCTCCTCTTTCGATTGGTGCGGTTTAAATTGCAATCGGAGGATACATTTTTTGGGAAAATGGACTTAAACATTCAAGTCGAGTTTTAACCTCAAAATCAATTTTTAAGAATTTTTTGAGTTACACCACTAGAAAGAGGAGGAAAAAATCTATCGATCTATGGGTTTGGATTTTTTTTCTGACCCTTGGTAAACGTTTCAGAGCGAGCTAAACATACGACACTTTCGGCTAAAAATGCCGTAATCGCGCGGGGTGGCCGACTTATGCTGGACGCGCTCATATTTTCTCTCCATATATGAAGTAGGATTTGGGAAAGAACATAAGTAATAAAGTAACTCAAAGATAGTAATTTTTATCGATACTTGTATTCTTTATTTATAATTAAAACAGTAGACGATTACCTCTAAAAGATTTCGTAATTGCGCAGAGTAGTCTGCGAGCTTTCTGCGCTTTTTTATATATAATCAACCAAAATAACAATTTCATGTGTATATATTATACTTAATACATATTATTTTTTACATACCTTATGATAAATAATAAAGAAGATCGAACGTTTTCTTTCGCGTAACTTTTGGTGTGATTGATTTGAATATCAACATGACGCTTATACATTGTCGTTAGCGCGCCTGTGTCATCAAACCTCGTCTTTTTTTCATCGTTACAATGTATGCATATAATCGATGAGTTTATTAAAATGGAACAAATCTTACATGTACATAGATAGCGGCGTTACATACGTGCGTAAATCTGTCCTCTGTCTCTCACTCTGATCTATCAATTCCTCTTAATATATTACAAGTTAAACTCATATTACGCGTAATATTTACAAAATGTCGTACTCGACAGAGCAGGTAATGATAATTAATTAAATTATACATGTACAGCAACCTGCGTTACATTGTTCAACTCGTCAATACCCGAGAGATCGCACGATAGCTGTTAAACAGCCGCCAGGAACATAACAATACATTAATATTCGTTTCTCGATTTATTAAATCCTTTGAACGGACTTTAAATCTATCGTAGCTTACAACGCAGTAGGCTGACTTTTTTGTTAAATATTTTATTTATTGATTTTCTTTTTGTTACCAAATTTACAACTCGTCACCCATAAGTCTTAGGTATCATAATGCGTGAGCAGTCTCATGTATAGTGCACTCAGCCGCACGCGAAATTATTTGATAGTTTGCAACGCAGTCTCGACACGTTGACAACTCTTTTATGTGTTTGGAAAGATACGTGACGCAACTTTCGCCCGTTTCAACGCTAATACTTTGAGTTTTTATTACAAAAACGATTAAACATCATTGTCATGCATTTTTTATACAAATAAACGTAATCAGTATTCTCTGTTTTTTTTTTCTACAAAATAATCTACCTCGTTGAATTGTCGATAAACATGGAAAAATAGACATTAGAAAGGCGCTTGATTGATTAGTTTTCATTCGTGTAAACATTGAATAAGTACATATTTACGATATTTATAAATGTTTATAACATCACATGCGCATATATAATAGTAGTAAGAGCAACGTGTGAAACTTTTTTTGCAAATGTACGTCTGTGTGTTTAACTTCATATATGCCGTTGCACACGTATGAAAAAGTTAAAAAATAGATGCATCAAGTTTTTCTTTCCAGCTTAAGAGTACTTAAATAAGTGTTATCCTCCTTGAGCGATGAAATATTGACTTTACACAATAATTGACCGCACGAACAGTAAAAAGGCACCGGGCATTCGTCGGCATATCGCAATTACTATACAATATAATATTTATAATTTTTTGCATATCGGCATATCAGCGTATAAGAGTATGCATTTTTCAGACTAAAGAGATTTGTCAGGTACACGCGTGCGGAAAAGAAAACATTGAAAATGACGATGAAGAAATTTGGCTGATTGAGAGAGGATACAAAGGTGCGAGAATCTTGGCATGAAACTTGAGTTTCGTGTTGTAGAGGCCGCATATACGCGAACGTCACCAGAACATTTTTAAACATTATAACGAAGCACGAGTCGAACTAGACAAGCGTGTTGTAGTGCAGACGAGTACACTTTTTTTTATATATATACATGAAATAACAATAGCGAATCAGTCTCGCTTAATTTTTTTTCATCGTCCCCCGTCTGCATGTATAATGCAGGTTTTTCAGGGCACCCCGCTGCACGTACCGGGACACTGCGCCGAGCACAGCTTCCCCAAGGTAAACGCACGTCGCGGTCAGGCGATACGATTCCTTACGAATATCACAATTTGTTAGATGATTATCTTCGTAATCTCAATGACTATTTCGATTGATTGATCGCGGCGATTCCTCGGTCTTTGAAGAAGCGGAAGACGAAGAATCGCGCGGCTACTATCAGGCGTAGGACTGGTCCAGCGATATGGCAATTTTGTTGCCCTTTTCCACCCAGTTGCGCAGCCGTCCCCTCAGCTCCTCCAGGCTCTTCGATTTGGCTTTGTTGATGCGTTTGTACTTGACGTCCTTTGGCTTGGTCACCGATCTGTGATTGCTCATGACTCGATTGTAAGTGACCTGCGAACGGTGCAACGCAAAAAAGAAGAGAGGGCAAAAGTTAGTAATCGTCCTTTTTTCAAGTGCTCGTGACCAGAGCTGGATTTATAATAGAATGTCAGATATATATTATAACGCACGCACGACTGAACGCAAAAAGCGTATGAAAAAGTTTTTACGCGCGCGCCCGGCCCGCGCCCAAGAGGTAAAGCAATTTTAATGAGTCGACTTGTTGAAGCTTTACTTTTGCTCCCTGCGCCGGAATTTGATTACGAAGCGTCAAGTGCGCGCGTACAGACCTCTCTATAATACATACGCGTATACATCTCCATCCATCGAAAAGTTAGACTCGTCGGCAGCGCGCAGGGAAATTGTTTTCATACGAAGGAAATGCGGTACTCGCTCGACCGTCGCGCGGGAAAAAAATCGTACTTTGGCGGAAACAGCTCGAGCAGCGGAGAAACTTGCCGAGAGATACGACAGCGCGCGAGATGTACTTCGATGACAAAGATCAAACGGTACAAAAATTCAAGATCCGACGCGTAGCTAAACTTTTTTTCTCTCTTTCTCTTCCAACTGCGCGTATACGATTCAATGAAAAAGTTTTGCCATTTCAATGCGCGAACGAGGTGGCGGCGGCGGCGGCGGCGCGCTTATATTATATGGCTTTAAGTGTACCTGAGCTTGTTGGCTGTCGTCTCGGCTGCTGTTCCTCTGATTGCCCGAGAGTTGACCGCAGCAGTTGTGACTGTTGAGCAGCTGCTTGCACGACGACCTGCCGCTGCTGTCATACTCCTGCCGATGCTGATGGTGATGATTGTGCTCTCGATCGAGCCTCTCGAAGCTCCCGTAGATGTCCCTGAGTCGCTTGTTCTCGTCCGGCGAGGAGGACTGCACCTGCTGCTGGTGGTGCTGGTGCTGGTAGAGCCGCCGCCGCTGCTGCGTCGAGGCGTCGGCGCTGACGTTGTCCTCCTCGTCGGCCTCGATCTCGTCGCTCGGAGCTGTCTGCTGGTGCTTCTGATCGGCGTTGTTGGATGCCGACTTGGCTGTGTTGTTCGCGGAGCCGCTGTTGTTGTCCGCGTCGGCGTCCTCCTCGACCGAGTAGACGGTCTCGAGGACCTCAGGCCTGCGCAGTAGGCCGTTGCTGCGCCTCGACGACAGATTGTACTTTGGTTCAACGGCGTCCGACACGGATCGGATGAGCGTCACATCGGTATAGTTCGAACGGAATCTGCAACGACGAATAGAGACATTGCATCAAGATCGATCGAGTAATGAGATTTCGACGCGATTACGCGCTCCGACGATCACGAATGACGTGTGCACGCCTGCGAGATTACCTCGATACTTCGATATTCAATATTCCCTTTTTTTCCATTCAACTCCTATATAAATGCATATAAGTAATAGCGTTCCGACTTCATTCTCCGAAATCGCCAGCCCAGACGTAATTCGTCGTATATAGAGACGACATTTTCCTCAGTATGATTAAATTTCGTAACCATGCGCGGAGGAGCTTTGCGTGATTCGAGCGATGCATTATGTATACTGTTACTTATATATACGGGATCGTCGTCGCCGTCGTGGGCAGCTCTTATCAATGGCGCAAAAAGGCGAAGGAAGAAGCACAAGAGATATATAAGGCTCGAGACCGAGGGAATTGTCGCGCGACAATATATCGGGTAAAAAGAGTTATGCAAGTTTGTCACGAAACGCGAGCGTGCCGGACTCGTGTGGCCGCTCGTTGTTCATTTTCTTTGTGCAAAAGCAACGGCGGAACAAAATTTCGTTCTCCACGGAATAAGCGCGACACACTCGGCGAGCATCGAGCATGATAAACCGTTTTACAGTCTCGATGACTCTGTTGGCTCATTCTATGGATGTGCATAGTTGCGCTTAGTTTTAAGACGAAACAAAAAATACGTAAAAATGATAAATACGTTACCTTGGCGGGGTAAAGTCGTCGGAGAAGGCCTCCTCGAGCACGACGGCGCTGTCGCTGTCGCCCAAACTGTCGAGCCGGTCGAAGGCGTCGCAGCAGGGCGGCGAGGCGGACGAGTCCCTCATCATGGTCTGCTGGAGCAGCAACAGGCTCGCCGTGTCGGCCGACTGCTTCATGCTGGCGCTGTTGCTGCTGCCGTGATGATTGTTGTTGTTGACGAGGAGCTCGTTGCAGGCGATCCTGAGCTTGCTCTGCAGCTGCTTGATGACCTTCTGCTGGCGCAAGATTATCGACTCGCGCTGGGCCAGGCTCGCCTCGATCTCCTTCTGCTTGCGGCACAGTCGCGACTCGAACAGCAGTAGCTGAGACGACAGGCTGCGCAACTGATCGGCTTTTTCGCGCGTCAGACGAGCCACCAGCTCTTCCTGCGAACGGGGCGAAACAAACAAAAAAAAACGTCATTCATATAATACGTCGGTTTAATCTCGGTGTCGATGCGCTTTCATACGTCGCGTCTTCTCTCGCTCTCTCCCCCGACCTCTCCCTACGGGGGCTTTGTCTTTTTTTTCGAATCCTTTGTTTTGCATCCCGCACGCGAGGTAAAAACGTCAAACTGTCGTATTATTAGGCGCGTCACGCGTGCTGCTGCATGTCTTTGAAGAGCGATCAGCAGTGAAGCACAGCACCGCGAGGGCTCACAAAATATAAAGCGTGGCGCGCGTCCCGAACTAAAAAGTTTTTTATCCGCGCACACTGGCAGGCAGGCAGCAGTCCGCATCGCGCTTATAAAACAGTATTAAAAATATTCGCCAAGTAAAAAATAAAAAAAAATCAATTTAATATCGACGTTCGTACATATACGTATATGGGCTATTCCACAACAGGTGTTGCAGGCCCAAAAAATGAAGTTGAAAGTAACCATTTACTCTTCAAGAACACAATGAAAAATGAAAATCCTGAAAGGCACAGCCCCCTAGGTCCAACCCTTATGGATCTACAGGGGCTCAAAGTTGGATTTTCATGGTATGAGGATATTCTGCTTCTTACTCTGCTTTTCTGGGTGGACATAAGAAAAAATTTTTAAACCATGTTTTTTCATGTAAAATTTGATGTAGAATTCAAATCTGTACTCAGATGAGACATTAATAACCTCAAAATCCCTTGAAATAGAAAGTATGGTGTAATAGGACATAAATGTCAAAAAAAAAATATGTTCGTATACCTCAAATCAGCCCATATTGTAATATGTTCATCGATACACCAAAATACAACTTCTGATAAAGTTTGGTAACTGAGTCTCCATTACAGACAATTTGGTAGCTTTTGAAAGCCCAAAAAACATGGTTTTTTCCTCATTTTCCATGTTTTTTGGCTCTTTGCAAGCTATCAAATTGTCTCTTTTAGAGACTCAGTTACCAAACTTTGTCAGAAGTTGTATTTTGGTGTATCGATGAACATATTACAATATGGGCTGATTTGAGGTATACGAACATATTTTTTTTTTGACATTTATGTCCTATTACACCATACTTTCTATTTCAAGGGATTTTGAGGTTATTAATGTCTCATCTGAGTACAGATTTGAATTCTACATCAAATTTTACATGAAAAAACATGGTTTAAAAATTTTTTCTTATGTCCACCCAGAAAAGCAGAGTAAGAAGCAGAATATCCTCATACCATGAAAATCCAACTTTGAGCCCCTGTAGATCCATAAGGGTTGGACCTAGGGGGCTGTGCTCCTCAGGATTTTCATTTTTCATTGTGTTCTTGAAGAGTAAATGGTTACTTTCAACTTCATTTTTTAGGCTTGCAACACCTGTTGTGGAATAGCCCATATATATATTTCAATTCATAAAATATGTAGCTCCGAGCTGCAGCAGCCCCGCACTGCTGACGCGCGCGCCCGTATATTACGAGCCGAGATTAAAAATTCAGCATATCGCGTCGAAGAAAGGCTTGTGTGCTGCAGTGCGGAGCCCGGGACTCATGAGAGTAAATTACCAAACTGTTTTGCCACGCGCGCGCGCGCACAAGCGTCAAAGCGAATACATCAGACGATTTAATATAGAAAGGGAGCCCCAAAGAGAGGAGCGCGAGAGCTTACGATTGCACAAAATGTTACCTCCCGAGCGCACAGCTGATTATTATGATTATTGTTATTAGTATTATCATTATTATTATTATTATTGCTATTATCGTGATTGCTGGTATTATTATACTTTTGAAATAAAAATAACGAATTTCACTCGAGCCATCTTTTGTATAAGCTTGGAGCTTATAAAAAATCATAATAATAAAAAGTACGACAACAACAACAACAATAACAACGCCAATAATAATAAGAAAGATGACGACAATAATGATGCAGCGACGATGATAAGTCGAATCAATTGTAGTCGCTGGAAAAAAGCTATATACGGCCCGTTAATAAACAATCAGGACCAAGGAAAAAAAGGTCGTAAGTTTTATTACGTATGTGAGTAACACCCACTCGATCCACATCCGGGGAGTTATTTTTAGCCTTCGGCAGCGATTACTTTCACCGAGGCGCGCGCAAGCGCTCGGCATTCGGAGCTACGTGTGCTCTCCCTTTTTAAACGCGCGCGCGGAAAGCAAAAAAAAATAGCGAGCGAGTGAGAGAGAGAGAGAGAGAAAATGTAATCGTGCGCCACAAGGCGTATGACGTCGTACCTGCAGCTTAAGTGTCCTGCGCCAAGCGAGCATCTGATGGGCTTGTGCTCTTTGTCGGGCTTTAAGCGCCCCGATGACTCGCTTGGCTTCCTCTAAACTTTGTACCTCCTCGCTGCCTAATAGCAGTAACTCGTTACTCTGTTGCTGCTGCTGCTGCTGCTGCTGAGTCTGATGCAGCTGCTGTTTGTGCTGATGATGAAGTTGCTGCGGCTGCTGAGTCTGATGCTGCTGCTGCTGCTGCTGCTCCGCCGCCGTTGATAGGCCGCGACTCTGCAAATGATCAGCTAACAAGCAACTCTCCATCGACGACTCGTCGAAACTGTAAGACGAACAAATACCAGCGGTTATTAGAAACTTTTGTACGATTATATTATATATAAGGAGGGTGGTTTAAATAAATAGATCAGCAAATATATACGATCGTGTATGGAAACGGTACGCGGGTATAAATTAATATTTTGTACATCGACAGCAGCAGAAGGAGATGTTCTGCCAGGCGCGCCGCGACGAAGAAAGAAAAGTTTTTCTTCACCGAAAAGTGTAATTTTCGTCGCATCGGCACTTCTATAATCTCTCTTTCTCTCGTTCACTCGTCGGCTCGTCGTCAGCGGCCCACTCTTTTCTTTCTTTTCCCTTCGCCCTGTTATACGCTTCTTCGAGCGAATGAAATTAATTTCGTTAACTTTTTGTATTTACATTGAGTTATGAAACTCGGCGCGTGCGACAGGGTGGTGGTTTTTTTTGCTCTCCTTCTCGAATGTTTTTTCATTCGCTTTCAGGGAACTTTAGAAAAAATTGTGTATAAAAAAGGAGCCCAAGTAACCAGTAAATCGGCTCGTTTTTCTCACAGAGAGACCGAGGCCTCGCTCGCGCGCGCGCATTGTAAATCAATGCGTGCCGTGCGACAATTTTCGAAAGTGCAGCACACGCGAAACAAAAACAACGCGAAAAACAACGCGAAAAACAGCGCAACGCAAGATAGCAACAAAGTTCGACGTCTATACAGCGAGAGCGAGAGAGAGAGAGAGAGAGGTATATAGACCGGTGTTGTGCCGCACCTATGTGTACGTACTGTATACGTAAATGCGCGCACGCGATGAAAAGCAAATGCTATTACATTAACTGAGTGCGCTCTTGGCTATGCATATACTGTATACAGCGACTGTATGTGCTATACGAAGCTCTGTCGTTTACCCATCGCCGACTCGTCAAAGAATGCATCAGAAAGCCCGTTTAGCGCGCCAGAACAGTAACAACGGCAACAACAACAACAAAAACGACAACGTCGACGACTACGACGAGACGTGAAAAAAAAATTCAAATTAACGAGTCAAAAATTGACGAGAGACCAAAGCCTCTTTCAGTTTTAGAGCCCTTTAGAGCCCGGAGAGCTTTTTCACGTATCAAAACCAAACTCAATAGTGCGTGAGCTTGTGTATATGGAGGCACTCGCGCGTATGTGTACGTACGTGTATACAAATGCAGTTAACCGTGTTTTTCCCTTATTTTTTTTTCTTTCAAATTTTACAGTTTTCATACACATATTTTCAATAAACTCATAGAATATACAGTCAAAAAAGTCTCGTGACTTTCGAGCGATACGCACAACACACCACGGCATACATGCATACGTGTATAGAGAATTGAAAAGAGGAAAAATCAAGAAAGCAAAAAATAAGACAATATTACTTGCACACCAGGCGCGGGCGGGCGGCGCGATATCGGAGGAACAAAGGGGCCCCGGCGCAGACGGTCGAGGACGCAAGACGACTTTCGTGCCAATAACAATGCCGTCAAATATACGAAAAAACGCTTACGTTTCGAATAATCTGCGTCGAAAGTTATACAGTACCACGACAACGACGACGGGCGCGCGCGCGAGCTGACATTACATCAACAACGGGGGGTCCAACATAATTATAATTATTATTATTGTGTGCGGGTACACGATCAAAAGGCTCGTGTATGTATGGGTGCGTTTAAGTGCTGCGTGTGGGTGAGTGTGTGTGTGCGAGTGCGCCGCGCGTCGTTATGTATACACAACATATTATACATTACGGAGAAAGCTCAAAGCCAATCAAATCCTTAATTTTGTCCCTTGATACGAATGTCGTCTACGTATATCGCATGCTCGCATGCCTGCATGTGTTTATACGTGTGTATATGTAACGCGTAATGTATATACCACACATATACATGAGTATTATTATAGAGTGTATGCGATATACGTGTAGAGCGAGTCGCAGCGCAGGTAGATGCGGTAGTCGTCGTCACGCATAACATTCGAGTGCGCGCAGAGATTGCCCGTGGAGAGAGAGAGAATGTGTGCTTGCAGGCACATATATGCGCTCTCTCGCACGCGCACACACATACACATATTTGAGCTTGATTAGGCCTTCTCTGTCCCCGCGCCAATATGAGAATATATATACACAACGCGACGCAGCGGCGGTGGCGGCGGTGCGCGTTTCTATGTTTATATGCACGAGTGGCATAGCAATACACCTGATCACAACTGGTCGCTACAGACACATACAATACATATGCATGCATTGCTCGTGCACAAACATATTGAATGTTACGTAGATAGGAGAGTGGGCGAGAGTGAGAAAGACGGCAAAAGGAGGAGACACACAGAAGGGGTTGAGGGTACAAATTGCAAACTATCCACCAACACATCCGTTCCCTTTGTTACATTTGTCGTACGTCCATGTAGGCGGATTAGAATTTGGAATGCGCGCGGATATACAAATGCGGCTTTTGCAGTGTGCAGTGCAGTGTGTGCTGCAGCTCTATGATGCTATATATACACAGCTCTATATATATTTACGCGCACGCATGTATTTCGCTAACGTATCGGATCTCTCGACTGCGGTACTCAGTCACCGTTGCGCGCGGAGAGCTTTTTTCACGCATGGATTTGTATTATACGAGTCTCGAGTCTCACGACACGATCGCCAACTAAACTACTACTATACGATACATATGTGAGTGTGTGTAACAAAATAATGTACATGCAGCTTCGCGCGAGGGGCGCAGTTCGGCTATGTGTATAATAATATATATAAAAGCCCCGAGAACGTTCACAAGTACTGCAACACGGATTTAAAAGAAGGCGCGGGGAAACAACAGCCGGTCGGTCGCGCGCGCGCGCCCGCGTGGGAGGGACCACTATAACACACAGCAAGCAGATGATTATCGCATTAACTTTTCAAATACAAAAGGTGTGCATTTATATGTGTACAGGTGAGGGCGAGTTTGTGTGTGTGTGCGCGCGATGTTAGACGTCGACAGAAAGAAAGAGAGGAGGCAAGGAAACGAAACAAACAAAAAAAAGTAACAAGAAAAAAAAGAAGAAACAGAAGAAGAAGGAATAAACTGGCCGGTGTAAAAACGCGAGGGCGCGCATCGAGTCCATCGACAACATCGAGCTCCAAAGAGCGAAGGAGAGTAAAATAATAGTAGTAACATCAAAGTACGTATCGCGCTGAAAAAAGGAAAGAGCTACTTTGTGCATGCGTTTGTGTGCGCATACAGGAGGAGTCGAGCGAATAGGAGACAATATATACATATATCTAAAAAGTCCACTCATCTGTCTGTTTGTCTAATGTAAATGGCCTGGGCTGCCGTAGCTGTATCTGCTGCTGCTGCTGCTGCTGCTGTCTCTTTCGCTCTCTTTCTCCGTTGGGCATATCGAGTCGTCCGGGACTCCGAAGCGCAGCAGCTGATACCACCGTAAAACGTAGGGCTCTTTGTGCGTGCTCCGTGTTTGTGTTCGGCCGCGCTCGGACTCCGCACCAGAGTAAGCGCGCTCATTTTTCTTTTCTCTTACACACCGATAGATATAAGCGCGTTTAAGCGTGTTTTTTCAAAAGCCCGCGCCCACGCGAGGACTGGCCAGCATAGTAGTAGTATAGTAATCTCTTCCTTCTTTTTTCGCGGCTTGGCGCAGCAGCAGCGACTCGACACGACGGATATTTTAACGCGACTGAGCCGCCACCGGCGCGCGAGCCAGCTTTAAAAATACGCGCGAGCCCGGCACGATTCATTTAAAATTCAGCGTATGAAAAAAATCCAGCTCAGCGGCAAAGAAATGCACTCTCGAGCGCGCACACCCCGACTCGCACGCACTTAGCCGCACGTAGTAGTAGGATGTACGTCAATCCTGCCAGTCGTCAACCGAAACGAGCGCAAATCGCCTTAGATCGTCGCGAATATAAAAGGCGCGCGCTCGAGAGTCGGCTTTTGAATTCCGAGAAACGCGCCTCCTCCTCGCTCTGCAAAGCACGGCAGCAGCACTAGACGTACGAATTGCAACTGACGTTACGCGCGCCAGTACGAGGGCTGCGGAGTCGTAGCAGTCGTCGGAGTCTCTCGTCGACGGTTGTTGCCGCGCGCGCCAAACTAGCCCCGTGTGCGCCGTGACGCGCTCTCTATATAGGACTAGTAAGTACTCGCCGGCGCGCCTCGGCTCGTCAGTGTATAAGCGCGCTGCAGTGGCAGTGGCAGTGGCAGTGGTAGCGGCAGCAGCGGTAGCGCAGCGCTCTAACGTTGTCGTAGTCGGTTGCGTCGTCGTCGTCGGGGCAACCTGCCACGCGCCACCAGCAGCAGCAGCAGCAGCAGCAGCAGCTCGATCCGGCACCGGTAGTGGGGATCTCCCAGGTGATTTTACTCGACGCTGGGCTAGGCTATACAGCGTATACCTACCCGTTGACTATATACGTATATATTACTGTGTAGTAGTAGTGGCGCGACGCATACCCGCACCAACACAGCAGCAACAGTAAAACCATTTATGTATACCCTATATTATATACCCGGGATACCGCGCGCGCTCGCGTTGCTGGTGGCAGTGGCGGTGGTGCGGGGGCGAGCTTTGAAAAAAAAAAAGAAAAAAAGATAAAAAATGTATGTACATTTCAACTAAAGCTGCTTTTTAGGCGCAGCTCGCGCGCTAGTGGCTCGTCGTTTTTTCGTATAAGCCATATCAAGCTCTCTCTCTCTCTCTCGAGCTGGCAGCGCAGGGCCTGCCTGCAGGAGTTGCGGGGAGTATTTCGTACTGCTCGAGCGCACGAATTCTCATCCATTATTCTTTCTTCTTTCACCTCACCTCACGCTCTTTCTGCGCGTCTACTCGGTTCGCGCGCGCTCGCGATATCGAGATCATCGCCCCACGATTACCAACATGCGATCCAAATTATCCCCCGTGAAAGATGTATATCGCTGTATATATGTGCTTTGAAAAAGCGAGGCGAACGAGCTGTGTAATATCAAGTCCGGCTTGCAACAGCAGCAGGCCAAGGGTGTGTTGTGCGTCTG